TTCCCCTGCGTTTGCCGGCTACGGCGCCGGCTCGCGTTCGAGTCCCTTTCCAAAGTGGGGCCGTATTTGGGCTCCGAGGTGTTGCGCCCTTTCCCATTCTTGCTCGCGTTGCCTTCCTTTTTCTTGAATTCACGACCTGCCGCAACTTTCGCCTCAACTCAGCAACAGATAAAGGTTGTGACGATTTCAAAGGGAACGGTGGAAAGCGAAGCTTGGCGTATGCATCATTATTCTTTCAATCGAAAGCATTTATGATCATGAAAAGCCAAAGTGTGTCACGGCACCGTGGACAAAAATGCGGAGGAACCCCCAAAAGAAATACCAAAATGATCTGCCTGGCATCCTTCACCGCCATCGGAGTGGTGATCATTTGTGATGTGATGATGTCTGAAAATATCGCATTCATGATCCTCAAAGTCCTTGAAAAATGGCCACCGAGCTACAGTTTTTTTTTCTTTTTGGGGGGGGGGTGTTATTGACCCTCCCCCCCCCAAAAAAAATAAACTGTTTTCCTTAACGCCCTGAACAGAAAGCTGCCGGAATTCACTCGACAATACAATCTCGAATCGCTTTCCGGACTGACTCGAGCGCGTTTCTCAAGGCGGATGAATTTCGCCCTCGCCTCTTTCTGCATGCGACTCCGCCAGTAAAAACTTTGGACCCCCCCTGCGCCGAATGGACCTGGAAGGAACCAACGGGGGTCATACCCAAGCCGGATGAGCCCACTGGAGTTGGGGAAGGGGCTCAGCATGGAAAAAATAAAAGCTTGCCCCTCCGCTCGAATGCCGCGCGTGCTCCAACGTGAAACGAAGACCCCCCCCCCCCCCTTGGAATGCGCTTTGTTCAGTCACGGTGCCCATGTGGCTTTCATCACAGAGGCCCCCGTTTACGGAATGTTGAAGGCCCAGGCCGGGAGTCTGGAAGGCTTCAGCCGGCCGACTCTGCTGCCGTGTAAACACGGCGCGCGACCTCCCACATTGCTCTTTTTACGGGGGCGGGGGGAATGCGCGCTGGGAATTCCCCACGTTGAGGAGGTCGATGCCGTCTGCCCCCGCCTTGGAGCGCCGAAGAAACGCTGACATTTTTGGGCATCTCCCGCCGTTGTCGGAAAAAAAAAAAAATCGTGTGCTAGCAGGTCCGGGCTGGCTTGCGAGAAGAGCCGGCCGCTCTCTTCGCACACTGAATTCGGAAGAAGAATGTTGCTATTTCTTTCTTTGCTGTTTTCATTCACCCAAAATGTTAGGAGCTTTTTAGAGCTGACGACTGCGATTCTCCCAATCGAATGTCGGCCAGGGAAGGGCTCACGAGGGCGCTTTATCCGCCACCTGAAAGAAGTGAAGCGCGATCCAAAATGGATGGATGTTGATGCTGTTCAAACACTGATTCTATCCTTTTTTTTCTCTCTCTCTCTCTCTCTCCATCTCCCCTCAATATTCCTTCCCTATGACTGGCATCACGTCGGCCCGGCAGCGCAGAGGCGCGGGGCTCTTTTTTCCGGGCGCTGCGCTTTTTTTCTCCCCCGTTCCCCCCCAAAAACATTGTCCCGATCGGTGTGAGTGTGAGCGCGGACGGTTGGTTGTCCAGGCGTGCCCCCGCGATGGGCTGGCGACCGCTTCAGGGTGTGCTCGGAAGCGGCTTGGAAAACGAACGAATGAATGAATGGATGGATGACTCTTATCCCAATCCCCTCAGAGGCCTCCCTCCCCCTTCCCCACCTCCCCCACATCACACCCTTTTGACCTCAGAGCGGCGAGCGCCTTTGACATGAACCTCCAGACCACATCGGACGGACCGACTCCCTGACGGAACCTCGGGAAGTTGTGCTCCAGGGGCTCGCCGGGAGAAATTTCCCGCTCCTACTCGACTTCCTGCCAAAACGCCGTCCCACCGGCTGTTCCCCAACAACGTACCTTTTATAAGGAACAAAAAAAAAAACACTTGTGAAATGAGACGGAGAACATTTTTCCAAAAGGGGCATTTGGTCTTTTAATCTTTGTGATGACGGAACTTTATTTTTGTAGAGCTTTTCTTACAATCCCAATTGGTTCGCGATCATGTGGGGCAACGCCGGGTTTGTTTCTTTGTTTGTTTCTTTGTTTTTAATTTAAGCAATGTGATCCAAACACGGCGAATGTGGCTGATTGTACACATCCAGACTCAAGGTTCCTTCCCCGCTCGCTTTGATTTCTTGTACAGTACACGAATTGGTATCGCGGGTTCCCTTTTAATGTGAAGAAATGTTTTGTTTTTTTTTCTTCTTCTTCAATGTGGAAAAGAATCTTCCCTTTCTTGACACCCCCGTTTTGAGCACTTGTTCACTTCTTGTTTGCTTTGCTCTTGCTGTCGTGTTTGCGCCGGAGACTCGGACGTTGATTTCTGCTCACCTCCGCCGCCCGTCGGAGGCCCTCTGGGCTCACGTGCCATGTCGGGCGCGCGGCGCCTTTCGGACCAGCGCTCGACTTTGCGGTTTTGTTTGCTGGCTTCGCTTTAGGACGGAGAGATCGAAAAGAATGATTTGCGCTCGACGCCCGAAGACCGTCGGCCGCCCGTTTGATTCGCGCCCGACGAAGCGGTCTCGGGGGTCGTCGCTTGACGACGTTCGGGGGCTCCAGAGGGCGCACGGACCGTCGAGTCGCCCGTCGCTCCGTTCAGACTCGACGTTGCGATCGGTTCGGAGTCGACCACGGCTCATTCCCTGCCACGCCTTCGGATGACAAATGATTTTTGGCATCCTAAGAACAGTTATTTTTCCAAGTCGTGATGCCGTTTGCGTTGCTGCTGAGGGGCAACGCTCGAGGACGTCCAGTCGATCATCGCGTGCGCGATATTTACGCCGGAATGAGGACCGCCCATGTCGTTGAAAAACGAGTCACGCTGAAGCAAAATGGCATTCATTGCGTTCGTCAAATCACCCCAATGTAGTTCCCGGCTCATCTTTTGGTCCAATTTGTGGCAGGCGTACCCGTTGTGATCGAACCGTTGTCTTTTGCCAACATTTTCCATTCCGGTCAAGCAAGTACAAAATAGTGTCTCGGGAAGCCCCCCTTTGAGAAGCTATTTCGTCATTGATTTGATTGTTTGCTTTTGTTTCTGGGCACCGTGATGCAACATCCTGTCCGGTTTGTTTGAAACGTGGTGGATTGTTCAGTGTGCCGTTGTCTGGATTGTTGGAAACAAGCATCGTTTCGCTTCTTTCATGGTATCCTCACGCGGTCCAGGAGCACCGCGCGATGAATAAATGTGTTTGGGTTTGTTTTTGTTTTTTTTTCTCCCGTTCATTGTCCACGCCTTGATTTCTTCTCACCAAAAGGTGCAATCGTGTCTCGACCGCCGAGTCCCGCGGTGTCATGTGGGCTCGGCAGAATCCGAGCACCCGTCATGTATCAAAATAAGAATGCGGAATATAATTTCACTGTGCGAACGCGCAACCTTTTGCGAGCATGGCTTTAGCCAGCAACGACCTTGTCTTTCGAAGGTCACCCGGCCCGGCTTTCCACTTTTCTCAGCGAATCATCTTTGCCGGCTGTCAGCGGTGAGCGTCGCCGATTTGTGGCTCACGCAGTCGATCTTCCATTGGAAGCCTCGCGCCTCTCCGTCACCTGATTTGATTTGATCTCTGCTGACTCGTCAGGCGTATCCCTCCCTCACGTGTTGATTTATTACAGCCGTTGAAAGAGTTCAATGACTGATCTCATCTCCAGAGTCACAAACACCCTCGCGCCATTTTAGAAACTAAAATGCGCATAAACGAGAGGGGCAGGGAGAAGAGGGTCTTTTTCATACACACCGGGGCAGGTTTCGGATCAATAGCGCAAGAGCGAGCGATCAAACGAGCAACCTTCACCCTCTGCGGTTGAATGCCCTTTGAAGATTTCGCAGCCGTATGCTGTGAAATCGTGTTTGCCCCTTTGCGATTTCTGCATTCTTGGCATATTCCTCACACGCCAAGGTTTGCTTTTGTCAAACCCGTTCCGATATGGCACCCAACCGAATGCAAAATGCGCTTACTGAATGCCAATTTCATGTATTGGGGCAGCCCAAAAATCCCGAGCCGGCTGTCCCCGGGCGGAAAACGGCATTGCGTGTGTGTGGCGTCGGACGAGAGCGGTCGCTTGACTTCAGCTCGGGAAACATCGGGGGCCCCGTTTCCCCCCCAAGGGGGTCCCGGAGGCAGAGGCTGTTGGTCATTTTGTGGACGAGCGCATTTGAGAGAGGGAGGTCTGCGCAGCTGTGGGAATGGCCGGTCAAAGCGGCTCATCTCATTGCCGCTCACGCTGACGGCTCTTGACAAGGGTGTGAAGCGGCTAGCGAAACATCGGCGCCATGAAGCAGCGACTAGAAACTCCAACTTGATCCCCTTGTAGCTTTGCCTCGAGCGAAAAAGCTCCACGCTATCGCAACAAATGCATGAGTGGTAATGGCACCGAGTTTTCTGTCAAGCACTCTTCTCAGTCTGCCCACCTTCACCTTAAATATTATTTTTATTTTTGGATTTGTTTGTTTTTTTTTTTTTTTTTTTTTTTTTTTTTTTTTTTTTTTTTTTTTTTTTTTTTTTTTTTTTTTTTTTTTTTTGGCGGGCCGTAGTTTGGACACCTATTGCGCGTCGTCATTCTTTTTCCTTTCGTAGTTTGACGTGTTGAAATAGGATTTGGTGAAGTCGATCTCACAATGTGATCGTGAGCGGTGCTGCAGTGCCAACTTGGATGGCGGCTTGGAGATTCCCATGCGACCCCCCCCCCACTCACACACCAATGCTTGCTGCGGCCCAAAATGAGCTTCCGCCAACGGAAATGTTGCCCGCTCGTCCAAGCGGCGACGAGCACCGACGTCATCAAAGATGTCTGCAAACGTGCTGGCAGCTCAGATGGCTTTCCATCCCTCTTGTCCGCCGTTCCCGGTTGTAGAAACTCAAGGCGGGCCCTCGATTGCCGGCCAACCGATTCCAGCCTGCACCTGTCCTCTCAGTGGGTGACGCCCCCCCCCC